GATCCCACAGACATAGCAAGAACTCCTCTTCACTGGAGTAACTATCCAGAGATGGAAGGTCGGAGACTGCAGAAGCATCTACATTAGTGTCCTAGCTCAGATTAAAAGAATATGCTTTTCAAGTAAGCTTTGAATTTACCTCCACATATACTTTGAATCATGTTATGAAGCGGTGTTAACCCACAAAAGCAGGATTCCTCACAAACCCATTCAGCCAGGTTTAAGTCCCAAATAGCTCCTTCCAGAAGCATTCTTTACAGATGTGTATGACAGACTCAACACTGTCTCATACTAGTCAATGCTTGTTTTGATCCCAGAGACAGAGGAAGCTCCCCACAGAGTTTCCAGGTCAAACACACCTGTTTTCATCTTTCATTCTTTTTAGTGCAACTATAACACATGGAGAAAAACCACAACACAGCAGCACACCTGCTGACTTAAAATTCCTCTATAAAGAGCACTAGCAGAAGCTGTTATGTATGGGTGACTATGTTACCCGACTGTAAAACCCATTTTTAATAGCAATATTTTTGTAATATACCTGAAAATGTATAGGATGGTGAAGAAATTCACACATAAGGGGTCCTGAGTAAGAGACAGCAGCTGGTTTCATGATTATAATACCCTTACCCTGTGCTTCAGGAGGAGTTCTAAGATGTCAAATTCTGTAAAAGTACAAAGGAAGAAGCAAGGCCTACTTGCAGCTACTGAGTGCAGTCTGTAGAAAGAGTCCCTCCGTCCATTTGTAAGCCATGCCTTCAAGGCAAAGTCAGACTTACATTGTAGTTGCTTCACCTAAACCACCTCACACACATGAATGGTATCTCATTTCTAAAAACAAATATACCAATTCCAGCCTGCAACAGTCCCCAACTCTTGAAAGGACAGCTATTCAAGACCAAATAGCATTTTTGCTTTGAACACAAAAAGTTTCATATTCCAGGTTGTGAGCTAAACCTCTTCACAACAGGCTAAGAGCAGTAGATCAGAGTATAGCACAAGTTATCTTTCATCTCCAGATTTCAACGGATTATTCTGCATGAGTTCTACAGGATGACCATAGCATCAAACTGATGATGTTCTTGGTTTCCATCTTTCTACTTGTTCCCAAAATACTATCTCCCACACAAGGACTTAATGCCTTTAGCTGGGATCACACAGTGATAGGTCTGGTTTTAATTATTTACCAAAAAGGTCCCAACTAGATGGAGCTCTTTAATAATACAGAATTTTTCATTAACTCACCATCATGGCCTGTCCTATTTACCCTGGCACTATATAAATGCTGCTTTAAAAAAAGCAATTTGGATTTAAACATTGCCTTCTCCCACCACTCTTTTAGAGGCTTATTGTCTAAGTCAAGTAAAAGAGCTGAAAAGCACATGGTGTCCTGATTAAGGATGTTTCATAGCCCACTTCCAGCAGGTCAGAAGCTGAGCTCCAGGACTGTCTTATAAACAGTCCTCTGTTTCCAGAAGAAAAAAAATCCAACCAAATCATGTTTCATAAAAAGAAAAATATAGAAGTTTCCCTAGGAAAACCTTTGGTGAAAAGATACACTAGGTTTCTAAAACACATTTGTGTGAGATGGCAAGACCTCTTTGCAATTGTATTTAAGTACACCTTGTGGCCATTTCTATGAGACAAACTGCACACATTTTGCCAAGGTTAAATTTAAGTGCTGCTATGAAAAGCTTATGCAAATGTGTACATAAACTGATAAAGACAGCACCTGTAAAAGCCCATATAAACTGATCTGTCATTAGTGTGTACTGACCTTAATTCAATTCAGTTTTCCTCAGTCATGAATAAGAAAGCAGCAGTATGAAAGGACTCAGATGTTTCAATTTTTATTGCACATCGTTTGCCCTGCAATGTTTCGGAACTATTTTAACTAAAGCAAATTGAAGAACCTTTATATTAACATTACTTTCATTAGCTGTGGTATGATATGCAAATAGTCACATAAGCTTCAAACATGCAGCCTCAGTTTATGGTCGTCCAGCTCTACTCTTCAATGCTTTCAAAGTTTTCTTCATGATTGGTGCAATTTCTTCTATAACAAGAAAAGAGACCAGTTAGGATTACAGCTGCAAGTGATTTAAAATGGTATTAGCATAATATTATGCATATATTAATAGCAAGTGAAAACAATTATCTTTATAATCTTAGGAAATTTCATTTACTTTTGACAGGCTTCTTTTCACGTTGAGTCATTACATGTGAGCTAGAGCTTCCACTGTTGCTAGCAGAGACTGGACCTGATGTGTTATTTCTGCCTCTGCTTTCTGGAATAATTCTTCTTTTAAAACAAGAAAATAAGATAAAAGTTAGGATTTGATATCAGACTATTTGCTCTAACTTGTTTTGAAAAAACTAATCACAAACATTTAAGATTTCATACATTTAAAAACCACAGGAAAATTCACATCAGAAGGGATATCAGGAGGTCATCTAGTCCATTTCCATCCTTACATCAAATCTAATAAATGGAAAATTTGTGCATCTTATTTGTCTTTAAAATTAAATTATCATAATTTGTGACAGATCCAAAAGTTTAGCAACACCATTTTGATTCATAATGCCCTGTGCTCTAGTTTGCTCTTCATGTTTATTTTCCTCTTTGAACACAGCTGAACTGCTAGCTAGCTCTGACAGAAAATGAGGACAAATTTACACAAGCTTGCCTTTAAAAAAAAAAAAGTAGGAATATCTAGCAAAAGGCATAATAACTACCCCTAAATATTGGGTTGGAATCATCAATCAGCAAGACAAGGACTGAGGCAGATACAGAGCTAAAAGACAGTTAAACCAAGACAGCATTAAAGCGTAAATGTGATGTCACCAATCTAAGCAGCCTTGTACACTTTAGAGCTGATGTCTGCTACCAGTTATCATACACCACTGCACACTGAACTGCAAACAGCAACCTGTTGGGGATCTGTATGTCTGCCATAGGACCTTTTTAGCTCCTGCAAGACCAGCTTAATCAAAGATTTCAGCTGTGCAAATTCTTCAACTTGTAAAACCAATAGGTTTTCAGAGGACATGGTCAAAGCAATGAGATTAAACTCAATAGTGCCTAAACAAACTCTTGTTTCTCAAGAAGGCAAAGCAACAACCCTCTTACAGCTTCTTTCACACAACAGCAGTTCTTCCTAATTTATCATTCCCAAAACAACAACATGCAGGGCTTTGAGTACATAATTCAGCTATGGGTCCAGAGACTACTGTAGCAGAAAGGACATTTACACTACTGTACTTTAAGCACCTAAACGGGAAGGCTGGTCTGTCACAGCAGAGATACAACCTCCCACAGGGTAACTGAAAGCAAAATCCTAACTTGAAGTGCCTTAAGCTACTGCCTTGATGGTGAACTATCAGGTTGCCCAGAGAAGATGTAGATGCCCCCTCCCTGGAAGTCTTCAAGGCCGGGTTGGATGGGGCTTTGAACAACAACCTGATCTAGTGGAAGGTGTCCCTGCCCATGGCAGGCAGGTATAGAAAGAAGTTTCCTAATTTTATCAGCTAAAGGTGCTACAAAAGCATTGTATCTGGTGTCAAAAGCTCATTTTAAGTTCCTACATCCTACATCCAAGCTGTCATTCCTGCCTCATACAGCCACCATCTTGAGCAGTAAGTCAAGCTCCTGAAATTCACAGAAAACACACTTTCCCATCGTTCTGTAAGGGTTCCCTACCCCCCAGTAAACCCAGGTCAGTTCAGTTATCTAGTTCACGTGCCTAAGACAAAAAAATTACTCAGCACAACTGCAGGCACTCCAGCATCATAACAGAAACAGCCTAAAATGAACATGTCAGGAGAGTCAACTACACTAAGTCAGTCTTGCATCACATTTACAACAGCTTAAGTTTTATGCTCCCTGTTCCCAGCTATCTGTCATTATCCACTGACATTTGTCAACCTGCCTAACTATTCCCTAATTCAGATTAATGAAAAACGTTCCACCTGCCACTCCGTCAAAGGGATAATTTTGAGAGTGCTAGATGAGGAGCAATTATCGCAACATGGGAACAACCACAGGCAATAGGGACAGGGAAGGGCACCATGCTCACCAGCAGCCACAGCAGACTGAGTGACCACATCTTAAGACACCCATGTTCAGGCAGCATGAATACTCTCCATAGCTTTTATGGTCCAGCTGCCAGCACATGGACTCATCAACCCATGGGGTGCTTCTGAATCAAACTGCTGATTTTTCTTTTGGACAAGAACAGATATTCAAACAGTAAAAGCCAGCAGTCTGTCTCCATGTAGTTGAGAAGGGAAGAAGAGGTAGAAGCTAGTTGCTACAGGTTTATCTCCCTGTTGCAGTCATACTCTTGGATACAAGAAAATTCATTAGTTGGCAGGAACAGTGGGACAAACATCACATCTCAGCTTTGTTTTTCATGGCTGTTGAGCTAGTTTGAACTAAGATGTCACAAAGAAAATTTGGCTTTGTGCTATACAAAGAAAACATTTATGGAATCCCAGTTTTCTATTCATACTATCCAGAGATTAGTATGGCAACTGCTACAGACTGACTATTCCAGATACTCCTTTAAACTGCCAAAGAAGAAACCCACCATCAAGAGTATTAAAAGTTGCCGAGACTCATTCTGGTCAGCTATATCCCTCCAGACATCTAACTGGGATTTTATAAAAGCAGGAGAACTTGTGAGGCTACTAGACAGATTCATAAACATGAAACATCCACACTGGAATCTCCCCAGGATGTCAAGCAGCATTAGTGTAGTCTGGAGAAAACTAACAGTGTCCACTCACTCTGCAGCTGGGATGGTGAATTCATCACTAGCACTCTGGAGAAATTTGTAATGACTATGCATGTGCAGCAGAGGAGCACACAAGACTTAAGTTAGTTTCTAGCCACTAGCTGCTTAAAAAAGTAAATAGGGAGCTATTAAAAAAAATTTTGCCAGCAAACTTTTGTACTGACAAAGACATCTAAACTCAGAAGCACAGAACACAACACTTACTTGCACATCTTTATGGGATAAAGTTGGGTGACAGGTCTTGCTGTCCTATGGATTTCTTGCTGTTGGCAAATGTTCCTGGGTGGTTTTGCTGCACCAGTCATATAGGTCATTTTTACTTGCCTGCCTAATACAGAAGCAAGTAGCAGAGGATATGTGACTTTTTTGGCCCTTTATGTTCAAAACTTGGTTGATAATATGGTTGTGTGGCCATTTCAAGGGTTTAAATTGGAAAAAAACCAGTTCAGAAAAGCAGAATCTGGTACCAAAGTAGTAACTGAAACATGGCAAATAGTGTATGCAGTCATGTATACAGTATTTCTTCATATTAACTTTGGTATTTGCAATTACATTTGTACTCTTAGTTGTTGCTTAGAATCCTAAGTCTAACCAGGAAGGAAAGATTTGTCTACTCTATGCTCCAAGTATTATGTATTAATGTACTGTATCAATGCATGTATTTATTTTTTGAGCAACTTGCTTAAATTAAAAATTAAAAGGAACAGTGTTCTTTCTTGATGACTTCTAGAGGGACAGCATTAGTGCTCAGTGCAAACAAATAACAAAACCCTACATATTAAGTGTCAAGAATAGCAAAAGACACTAAGTTTTGTAAGTGGAAAAGCTAACCACAGATTTTACCTTTTGGTTTCTCAGACTGAGCTGAAGCAATACTTTTTGTAAGCCTCTTTAGTTTTTCTTCTCTCTGATTAAACAGTCTCGAGTACATTTCACGCCAAGACTCATATTCCAGAAGACTCTCATTTTTAAAATCTCTTTGGCAGTGTTTCTTCCACAAGTGGTCAGACTCTTCTGTAAACATCTGATTTGAACACAAGATATTTTTACATCTTTGACTTAAGATAACATTTTCAAGACCCAGTCCCCTGGTAGAGAAAGATGCAGAACAAATCCTACAACATATGCTGTGACAGGTACCCCCACACAGAACATGGTAATACCATGCAGAAATACTGACTTTAGTCTAGAAATCACATAGCTTCAAAGAGCAGAGCACTATATTTGAGTTAGTGAGCCATGCTTACAGGCTAGACTTGCATTTCCAGCCCAGGCTCAGGACACACTAGCTCTCAACTTTAGGTGTGCAGAGAAATAGCCAGCTTGCACTACAAAATGCTGCACACTCAGAACCTCAATGTTCAAATTCATCATGTAGTTGAAGTCCTAACAAGGTAGATAAGAAATCTACCACATACATGAAATGTCACCCCAGACACTTCCTGATTGGTATGCTTTGCAGCCTTAACAGTTTGTAACTTGAAAACAGTTGGTTCTATTATGACTTTCCCAGCTATTTCAGGGGTAAATACTATGGTCTTTTTTATTATCATTATTTTTAGAAACATAAATACTTTTCTACCCACAGTGGCTTTAACTTACTCATCAGTAATAATTCTTTGAAATTACTTAAATCCTGACACTTGAGAAAGGGAGGCAGCTGAACTCAAAGAAATAAGTGTGCAAGACAGAAAGCCACTGTAACCCACGGAGAATATCAAAAAGGGTGCAAAGAAGGCAAAACCAGATGCCTCATGTCCTCCATGATTCCCTGAAATTAACAAGGCAGAATTTACCGGATTACATTCCTCTATTTGAGACAACTGCTCTGCCGTGCAACGTGTTAGAACAGGCTCAAGAACTTCAAAGGGCACACCTCCTACTTTACGCAGCACTACAAAAAAAGGACAGTACTTTCAGTAGGTTATTTCTTTTACTCAGTGGGTAACATCACTCAACTTTAAAAAAATTTAGCAAGTACCAACAGAACATGTTTTGAAGTCAGGCTATGAAAATATTTATGAATCAGCAGTTCCATACTGACTGGCAGTTACATTTGAGGATGGAGAAAGTATCTTTGACTAGATATTGCTCCATCTGTAGTGATGTGCATCACTCCCCTCTGCCTACACAAGGGAATAAACAAATTCTTGATTACTCATTCTAATTTATGTAAACAAACATGCTGGAAGGAAAAAAATCATCACGTTTTTGGCTTATAATTTATAGGACATTATATTTTAACTAAAATTGGAACTTTTAAAAAAGTAAGCTTTCGAAACGAAACTACATTTTAGCACAGCCTGCTACAAATCCTTTCAAGTACTCACAATCAGTATTATTTTGAAGCACACGGATGCACTGTTCATACAGTGTCAGCATCTTTGAAAGACAGACTGTTTTAGAGCCGGAGTAAACTTGCATTTTAGAGTTCAGTCTCTGTCCTGTGAATTGACCCATCTCACTGACTTGCTTGGGTGCTTCTACAACAGGTGCTAGGGGAGCTGTAAACAAAACATCAGGCAGGGTTTCCTTTACCTCCTGACATTTTACAATGCTTTAAACATTCAGCTTTGAGAGAAACACAGCTGGTAGGGCACATGTATACTCTTTTTTTCTTGAAATACAAAGCTATGGTGTTACAGTTCGGGGCCCTGACACATATGATGTGTTACAAAGTTCATTTATCATCATCTAACACCAAGACAGCATGTACACTGCAAATGAGCTGCACCAACTGAAACCAGCCTTACATTATTTAGCTCAGGTCTATAGGAGCTGTATTCACATCTAGTTATCACTATTATCAGCCTACAGCACATTACTGACCTTCCACATTATCCTAGAGAAGCCAGAAGCTGCAACAACAGTGATGTTTCAAGACAAGAGTGATTATGAAATCACTGAAACCTCACAGGAGCTGCAAGGGGAACCACTGGCACTTTGTGTCACCTACCTATAAAGATGTTAGCAAGTTCCTACATGGAAGCTAGACTTAGTGCTTCCCATATTTGTTTTATCTAATATAATTTCTCCTAAAGCTTTGCCTGCTATAAGGTACAGACAGGAGTAAAGATAAATGGAGCCTGAAGAACTACCACCTGATCTACACCTTCTCTACATCTGTGGTAACCTTCCACAGTATTTCTTTATTTAGCAAGCCATAAGAGGGAAGTCTTTAACTTACTTCAGCTTCAACATGATTTCTACAGATGAGAAAATAAAGGTGAGGCATTTCTCTGTGATGGACAGCTGAGCTTAGTTTATTAGAAAGGGGATAAAGACATCTCTACATAGAGCTGTAAAAACCTTCACTATTTCACATTCAACAGCCTTGAACACTACTTACCTTTAAAGTCTGCAGCATATGGAGATGAGATTGAGATGCCTGTCAGAAATTTAGGCAGTGGAGTATTAAGAAGATCTTGGAGGGATGCCACCTTGGCCTGTACATAGTCAAGGAAACATTGCTTCAACATTACAAATTCAGGTTTACCGAGGCTTAAAATAATCTACAAAAAACACCTTAAGTAAACCCCAAAGTTAACTAGGATAACTAGAATTATTGCTTTTCTGCACTAAAATTTACTCTCTGGATTACTTTTCAGCATATCCTTTCATACTCTATTTACCAAGACTACATCAGAAAAGGAACTTAGTGGGATATCTGCAATCAGTGCATAAAAAGAGATTAAATAACAGAGTAGATGTGTTCAGCTAACAGGCTTTCAGATAAATCACTATTAAGGTTAGAGGCATGCAGTGAATGAGACAAAACTGCGAGATGACAAAATCATAATTAAATGTTTAAAGGCAAACTAAATGCCATCATGAAAGACAACAAACAGCTTTATACCTGGTTCTATCAAGGCTCCTATATTGTGCTAGATAAGACATATAGCCCAAAATTTTCACAGACTGTTGCAGAGGCTGGTAAGGACAGGTCCCTACAAACGATCAGAATTATATGCAATGTCTAAACTGGGTCTTAGGTGTCCTCCAATTCTAAACCAGGCATTTATAGTCCAAAACTTGCACCTCCCTGCACTTCATTTCAGTATCTTTAATAACTTTTCATGGCTGCTTGAACATTCAAGATTTTTCCTCAAACAGTTTATGCTGGATTATCATACACAAGCCTCTACATTAATATTACTCTATTTGGGACAGAAGATAACACATTCAGATTGCATCTTCACAATAAAAGCCTGGAGCTTTCATGTCACAGTAAAGAAAAACTTAAGACACCTCTAATTCCCAGTACACAAAAGGGCTTCATTTAAAAGGTCCAATTAATACACGTTTAGATCTACCTTGGCTCAGAGGAGCCACTTAAACTTCCTTAACTTCATGAGATTAGGATAGTCCACATTATGGACACGTATAAACTACTTTTATATCCAATACTGTGGTTTACTTCAATGCATTAAAAGAAAGTTTAGTTCCACTGCAAATCTAAGATTCACTATTAAAGAACCACAGCATCTGACAAAACACCTGTGCTATACACAAACAGCTGCTACAGTCACAAACCAGGCGGGTCAAGCATAGAAGAAGGGGACATCTTTCCAAAGGTAAGTACCTTTACTTTACAGGTAGAAATCAGATTAGCTGATATGGATCAAAGACTATTGCCATATTAGAAATAATCCCAAAAATACAGGACAAGTCAATTGTAAACTGCCAGTATGCAATAAACAATCATTTTTTTTCCCCAATTATTGCAATTTTTGGCAATTGCAATGTAGCTGATATATCATAGCCATGCAATCTGTTGCTTAAAATAAATATAGCTTAATTTCACTGAAAATAAGAGTCCAAAGCACTTATTCATCTGCAGTTTACTTATTATTTTCAACCATGCAGTGGCTTACCTTTTTATTAGGAGTTTCTGAGTGATCACCCTCACATTTTTTTACATCTTTCTCTCCCACTTTGACATGAGAAAATTTTGAAATCTTCTGTGGTAATGAGCTGTTCTGTTCACTGCACTTCTTTGGCTGTTCACCTGTAGAACAAGCCTTCCTCTTTCTTTTTTTGGTAACTTGATCATAATTAAGATAAGCTTCAAAAGACATAGTAGGGGGCTCAAATTCCTCATCACTAGATAATTCAGCTTTTCTTTTTATGACAAGTTTTTGGGTTTGTTTCTTCACATGCTTATGATCTCTCTGCTCAGAAGCATCCTTACTAGGCTTTGCTTTCAGGGGTGAAAAGTCTTTATTGGCTGCAGAGGAACACCGCTTTTTTGAAACTTTCTTGCTGTCTGTGGAGGTTCTCTCTTTGAAGTCACTTTCCTTAGCTTGAGGATTGGTATCCCGGGAAGCATGCCTAGAACCACTGTTGCTACATTCTTTATTATCACATTCTTTTTGAGACTCGGAATCTCTGCTTTTGTAGGTCTTTTCATTACAAGTACACTGCTTATTCAACTTTTTAGAAATGGGAGCATTACTGGAACTTCCAGAGGCCAGTACAGATGCTTTGAACTTCTCTGAAAGATTCATCTCCTTGGAAACAGAAGATTTTGTCTCATCTTTTTTGGTATTTTGTTTTCCTCCTCTGTGACCACTGCAACATAAAAATAATCTCATCCCATGCTACATCTGATGCTAAATTCTTAAACAAATCAATCTTTTTATCTATACTAGTAAAATTAAAAGCATTAAATCACACCACATGTCAATTTTATGAGACCCAGAACTGTGCTTTGCTCTTATTCTTCCATTATCTGTACAGAATCCTAGAGAAGCAGCTCTTGGGTCCAGCACCACTAAATACTGCAGGAATTGACAGTAAGATAAGTGGGGAGTTGGAACATAACCATCAATAGGAAAACATGCCTTACAGTACTATTTGCTTATAACATATTGGATACCACTTTTTACACAAGTCTCCCTGCATGCTTTACAACACAGACACGGTACTTTAAATAACTGGGAGAAAGAAAATTGACAACATGCTCTGTAGGTGATACAGATTGCAACAGGTCAGCCTTTATGCTTTTCTTCTCATAGGTTTTGGTATTTCTTTTTCCCACTGTGTGAACAACTTCAGATTTAAAATGCACTATTTAGTCAATTTAAATCTTTGGCTTTCTCAGCTCAACTGCCTCAAGTTACCAGAGGTCTGCAAAACATCTAAAGCACAGTCAGCCTGGCCACAGCAGTGGTGACTGCTTCATTCTGAGAAGAAATTGCATCTCCTCAGTGTGACTCCTCCAATATTGGAAGCGCCCCTCAGTCCATAAGAGCATTATAGGAAAGCTTTCTATACAACCAAATCACTGGAGAGCTACCTCATTTAGCCACCACCTCCAGGAAAACAGAGCAAGCTTCCCACTTTCCTGAAGAAGTGCATAACAGTACCCATCACTGGCTTAGTCCTGCTTTCATCAGCTGGGACCTAAGAACTTGTGCCAGTCAAAAAAAAAAAAAAAAGCAGTTGAAGTCTGAGTCCTGGCTGGCTAATTGACCAATACTAGTTGCTCTGATTTGTTTTCTGGTATTTTATAAGACAAAGACTCATTTCCTCCATTCAATTTATGCATTTGTCCTAATGTATATTTGTCATTCCAAACACTTTCCTAAGCTTTCAAAGATGTATTTTATAAAGTTACACTACAGTACAATTAATTTTTAGAAAAAAAGTTAGATCACACCTACCTATTATTTTCTGGAGGAATAAGTTTTTTCCACTGTTTTACCAGGGTTTTAGCTAGATTCCCAGCAGTGTCATGTTTCCTAAAACCATTAACTGTTTTGCCTATGCCAGTTTCCTGTTGAAGATAGTACAAGAAAGATGGTCAGAATAAATCACAAGTAACACCACAAATAAGACCTTCTCTAAAACTGCTACAAGCAGTATTAGCCTAGTAATCAGAGCAAGCTTATGGCAGCTAAAGAAATAAATGCACTATTTATACTGCAAACAGAACTGAAAGAAAGGTAAATATTTATAACAAGTACAGGGAACAAGATGCAGTATTAATTCATAAAACTAAAAGTAATTTTCCTCCATTAAATATACATATTTCAGGAATTTCTCTTGGTTCAAATGCTTAGATGCACAAAATACATACTGTTCCAGGGAACTAATCAACTCAAATTCCCTTTAGGCTTATACAGGTACATTTTAGCATGCTAGAGAGCACATAAAATGGATGTATTATAATCTAAAATGCATCTCAATCGGGAGTACTATGGGGTAGAGGGGTCAGAGGAGCAGAGTTCATATGGCCAAACTCAGTTTCAGCCACAAGAAAAACCTTGACATTTAAAACCCATCATTTTCTGGTTTTCCCCAGTACAATTGTTGTCACATTACCATTGTGCCTTCAAGCCTTACTCTAGTGAGTTTTATGTTAAGTACAATTATCTTGCAGTCTTTGGGTGTATATAGAATCACAGGTGATTTTTTTTTTAAATCGTGTGTTCTCAGTATCTCCGATTCATTAACTCTCACTTTTATGATACATACAAAACCTGGAATTCACTAGGTTCGCAGAAACCTGTTAATGCTCTTGCTAACTAGTGATACCCCTGTGAAGTCTGAACAAGAGCTACATATGTGCTACTCCCACATAATCATCTCACACCTTAGAAAGCACTTGTATAGAAGCTAAATATCCTTAAAGTGAATTTAATTTGAGCAATACTGGTTTGGTAAGTCAGTGTATTACAAACAGATGCAAGAAGTTTGGTGGAATTATTTCCTAAAGCAATTTATGTTCTTCCAGTGCATTAAAAATAGGTGGAGTCCTCAGTTGCAAGATAACTCTTTCCTCTATTTGACTTGAAGGTTTCCATCAAAATCTGTCACATTATAAAACATGCAAGTTTGCTGGAAACATGAACTGTCTGCAGAAGCCTTTTCATTCTAAACAACTAACTGCAATACGGAATTATTTTGTTTTCCAACAAAAATAAAGAAATAGTGCTGTATTCCAGTAGAAGTCTACCAGTGTTTAGGCAGGCAAATGCTTTTGCCTGAATAGGCCAGCCAAACGTCTTAACTACCATATTTTTCTCTTATTCTTCAAAGAACTCTCTCAAAATACATGTTTCTCTTCTTCACAAAATACAGACACATTGCTCATAGTAACTTGAAGCTTCATAGACCAGTGTGAGAATTTCCAATATAAAATTTGATAGAATGCAGCTTGGATAAGGATACAAGTCACAAGTATCCTTACTTGGGGTACCTGGTCTTTAAATGAAAGAAACTAACCTTGAGCTGCTAATAAAAGACAGAAAATTGAGACAACTGACCTAAAGAATGGTTCACCCATATTTGCTTTGTTTTAAGCATTGACCCAAAAGCAGTTTTACAGCGATAAGAAACCAACCCTGAGTAGCAAAGTGTTTTCTATATGCTCAGATTCCTGCTCAGTACTATCACCATTGGCACAATAGTGCATTTGTCAAGTCATATGCCCAGCTTCCAGCTAGCTTTTGGAAAAGGCTCTGTGGTTCCTTGAACAGAGCTCTAAAAAAAAAAATAAAAATTATGATTAAGAGTTAAAACTACAAAACGCAACAATTCCAGACTCCTGACATTTTCACAGTAATTCACTACAAAATAGTTAAATATATTATTGGTTACTTACCACTAGAATATCCAGTGATATATCCAAATCCTGTAGTACTTTAAGCGTTTTTAAAATCTGGAAGGAAACATTAGATTTTTTTAAAACAAATATTCATTAATTCTACTCTGGTTTTATCCTCCTCAGCTACATGTTTAATTCAAAAATACTCAGTAGTGTCAAAAGGAATACTCAGTAACTTCAGGAGAATGTAAACACTCCTTTACCACACATCAGGACTCTGCCTGAGGTCAGTGCTGTGAACCAGTACAGTTCTGTCAACCCCTCAACTTCAACAATACCAGATTATCCAGTATTTTTACCACTACACAGTGGTAAAACCACTATCCACAATTTACCACTACACAGATTACATTAAAGATACAGTAGTACAGGCCCCCACTTCTCATGCAGCAGTTACCCTCATTTGTCCCAGAACTGATAAAAAAGCTGCATTATGCAGAACCAGCACAATGCAAAAAAGCAGCAAGTCTCCCAGCAGGTCTCCCAGTCAGCAACATCATCAGCCCAGGCCACAAAAGGACAACAGGGCTGGTGGCAGCCCAAGTTGCAAAAAATACGGTTTGAACACTTGACTGCAATTTAACAAAATGAGCTCAAGCTAGAACAGCTGTTTTGTTTCACACTGACGAGGTATACACCTGTTACAAAAAACATTTCCAAAGCAGAATATAATTTTTCAAATACAAAATGACTCATCTTCCTCTGATAAGTGTCTTAGTAACACAAAAATCCCATTTATAAGTGGAGTTTAAATTTCTTTGGCAATGGGTATACAGCACCCCTGACTCTTGCAGTTGACCACACACAAGCAATTTGCCTTATCTTTCACAAACTTCCATGAAGCTATGTTATGTAGATGACAGAATTAATGTGCAACAGAAGAAAGACTAAAAAAATGCTGTTACAAAGCCTGGCATACTAATCAAGTTTTTCAGATCATTACCACTTCTAAATGCAGTGGCAGGAACCTGCAGGAATGCAAAACAGACTACCCAGAAATATTTTAACTACAATAACAGCTACGATAAATGATGAACTGTCATTTATTATATTAAATATTGCTTCTGAAATGGTGTTGCAGGAAGTACAACAGGTACTAAAATAGCAAACTCGAAGAAACAATTTACAAAGAGCAGTGGGGGGGGTATTTTTCTCTACTGTTGTTCTAAGTTTCATGGCTCTTATAATGTATTAGTAATGGAATCCCACACTTAACATTGAATTTCATTGTGTACAGTAGGCTCTATCGACATGCCTGGCATGCAGTTCTTCCTGTACATCATTCACCCTGCCCTAGCTTCTGAGACCTACAGAAGTACAGGAGAAATGCTTCACAGCCTGGGAAAACATGAGAAAAGCTGTAATGGTAAGATGTACACCTAAGAACAGAGGTAACAAATCAACTCTCCCAAAAAGTTCAGCTAGCTACAAAATGGCGGGATGCCTATGAAAAAGCTTCCCGACGAAAATTTCAGAACCCGTACAAAAGCCATGTGAAGTTATGTTTATCTCCTACTTAAGACAGCGCCTGAGCTAGCAAGTTGTATTAAGAATATACACAAGAGAACTACTCTTCCTTCTGAGAAGGATTTAAGCTTAACATTTAGCTTTTTCCAGGTACTTCACAGATATAGGCTACATATTTTGTGATCTGAAGACTTTTTCTAAATAATCCCATCAGGAAAAAAATGTTTTGCAAAGATGCTTAAGTAGAAAAAATAATAATGGCTCACAATGTTAATTATAAGCATTGTCAGGCTAGTTAATTTTTTTATTTAATTTAAAAATATATCCCCGTTCATTTAATTTATTTTGCAATGAAAAAGGAAGTAACCCATTGCTGACAGGTTATATTGTGCTATATAGCATGACTAGATACTCAAGAAGTGCACACCACTGGGAACAAATATAAGTTCGTCTCTGGCTGGTGATATGTGTAAAAAATATTAAAAGATGCTTTCATCAAGCTACAAAGAGCATAGGGGTTTTCAGTGTTTCTTCTTGTTGGGTTTTTGACTAAGCTAATTCATAAAGCCAAGTTCATTTCAGAAGAACAGATTCAGGAAACAGGCAATTACTATTCATATGACTTAAAGCCAACAGGCTAAATTACAAAAGTACCTAGATGACAAGCATATCCAAAAGCAGTCAACACATTTTAATGAAAGACAAAGCTTTCAAGTTTTTCTAAACCAAAGACCACACTGTTCATTTTGCCTTCTTGATATGTATATCACATTTGTCAAATTAAGACAAACAAGGGGGGTTCATTAAGAACAAAATAGAAAGCATTGATCAAAGACTCTGACAAAACTTTCAGCAGAAGCAATCCTGATCTTGAAAGCAGGGAACAGCTCAGGCTGCAGTGAGATTGACAGCTATACATGTACGGGACTATCAAAGGAGAAATCTCCATTTGCGTTGTACTGTTGCTGGGCAATGTAAATGGTATCATCCAGCCTGACAGTAGTAATCACCCACCTCTGAACCCTCGCATTTAGACTGACTTACAGACACAATCAGGAAACAAGCAAATTTAATTTGTGGTAAACATCAGTAACAGCAGAGAAACATTGTATTTATCCTATTTGCTAGAGAGTTCTGATTTCTCTATGAAAGACTATGAGGTGCTGTTTGTTTTTTAAAGTACAAATACCAAGCTCCAGTATCTATCAGACTTTGGCAAAGGCCACACAAGGTATACTGTGAAGACACAGTAAAACCTGTCACTGAAACTAAAGCTTGTCAGAAACATGATCTTTGGTGTCATGATATTTATATGGTGCACCCTTACAATTATTGCATAAAATAAGGCAAAAGGATAAAGTAATTTATCTGAATCCTGTTCTGAGCAGGCTTTCAAAAAGAAAGTGAAGACTGATCGTTGTGGTGCCTTGCTCTAACCATATCTTTTACCCATCTAGCTCTTATCTCACTGGACTGTACCCAGTAATTTTCCCCCAAGTTCTTCCATATACACAATACATATACAACCCTCCACTGGTTTTCAGACTATTGTGCCTTGCATACCACTATCACCTATACTCTCATGGAAAAACTATTAACTTTAAAAGACATGGTAAACTTTATAGAAAAATTATGAAGGCCGTAAAAGTTACCTCTATATACAATTCCTGAACTATACTACATAATCCCTAAATACTGATTTCTCAAGAATGATCCAAAGCCTTTAGGATTGTTGTTTTTCCAATAAATGATACTCAAAGAAAGCCTAAGACATGAATCTTCATGCAATGTAAACAGACACCAGAAGCAGAGCCTTGTGGACAAACTGAGAGCTGTAACACACATACTGGTGTGAGTCAAAAGCAAAGGTGACAATAGGAGCAAGAGCGAGCCAAGATGAAGGGGAGGAGGGAAAGCAGGCAGGCATTTGGAAAGTGGAGGGCAATGATAATGAGCAATGGTTAAGAAACATGTGAGCAAACAAAATTTTCCAGAGTCAAAACTGAAAGCAAAGTGATGACAACAGATCCCAGGTGTGCCAAGTTTAGTCTCTTCCCCCTGCACCAATGTTGCTCCGTCATCCCTTATACGAGCATTGTGCAGTCATTTTTTCTAGCTAAGCCTGGACCCTCACGAAGGATGGGACCCATTAACAAGTCCCCAGACCATCCATGGTCAAGGGACTGACTGAACATTTCACCACAGTAACTCTTTCCTGCTTCTCTCCTTCCCTCCTTGCTCACCAGCTGCACCTCTCTCAAAGGGATCCCTGTAATTATTTAGTTCATTCTCTTCTATAACACAACCCATAAAATTTCACCAAGTCCATAACTTCTGCCTGAGCTAGACACCTCATCTGAAAGAGCACCAAGACTTCGAAGACATGTTAGAAAAACCCAACACATTCCCAAGCAAGTCATTCCCATGACCTCAGTTAAAAACTAAAACCAAAAACCAAAAACCCGACCAAATTAAAAAAAAACCCACAACCAAACCGTTTGCCTAACTAAATTTTGTCTAATTTTGTCTTCAGCTGTTGAATAATCTAATTATCTCTTCCTGATAATTAAAGGAATCTTCTTTCAAACACTAATTACACACTTTACCTTGGTTCTTTAGTTTCTGCAGGTTATGCTAACCAGAGCTATAGCCATTCTTTGGCTGTCCTATCTTTCCAGCTCAGCAGTGTTGTTTTTAAAAACAGTCCCCAGAACAGGACATAATATTCCTGTAATTGTCCCTCTAATACTATATAGGAGTAATAACATAACCCTGCTAAGCTACCCAAAGATAGCATTTATTCCATAAGCCACTGCATTGTACTGCAATTTCATGCTCAACTGGTAATACATCAGAGCTCCAAATCATTTTCTGAGTCAGTGCTCTCCAAAATACAGTCCCCTATCCTAAATGACCTATATTCATAGCTCCTAGCTGTGACTTTCCACTGAACTATGTTAAAATGCGTGTTGCTCAAATGAGCGTAGCCTAGCACATGATGAAAGTTGGTTTCTAGAAGAGTCTCTGACACAAATTACTTCAGCATTTAAGGCATTTCACTACAATGCTTGCTGTCTTCTAAATTAAGAAAGATTTGAGTAGCATCATGTCAAGAACAGATGCATAATCATCCCCCACCCCAGAAAACCTCCACTACAAACCCACAACCAAACCCACAACTCAACATTGTTTTCTGATGAGCCCTGACATTTTTGGTGAGTGCAATTGAAATCCATTCTATGTATTGCATCAGGTCAATAACATTGCTACTGTAATCAGCATCATACAGAAACAACTCAAATGCCTTAAGAGATTTGTATGTATTTATGACAGTATCTGCTGAATATAATTTGAGATAAATTTGGCAATACATATCTACATAGAGCCTCATCGAGTAGCATGGATCATGGCACCAACCCCTAATTCTGCATCATCTACATCTTATATGCAACATCATGCACCTACTCAACACATTTCTTCATGATCAATGTCAACTACAACAATTTCATTTACCTGTACAAACAGTAGTACTTTTTTCCTGTCCTGATGAACTTCCCTAGTACCTTGAGCATCACACAATACCTAAATCATTAGTTCAGTTCATTCTTTGGTCAATTTTCTGCAAATTCACAGGGTAGCTCTCAAACCATGCACATTAAGAAGCTTTTGGCATGAACAATCTATGTTCTGCATCTTCCCTGGTTGCTAGAAGATCAAAAACTATTCAACAATTATTAAAAAGTGCCAAGACAAATATTCTCAAGTATGGGCAGAAATATTCAACAACACCAACATTTACCTACGTACAGGTCTGTAATATTTTCATTATTCTTTCCACACATACCTAAACCCCTCCTCTTTGCCTTTAAAGATGATATGCACATGCTTTCTATTACTAGATTTACAATTTATTAGTAGTGCATTTCATGACTGCAATTTACAGCTGTCAGTTTCTCACTTCCCCTACCACCCCTTAGCCCCTGGTATCTGTAAATATTTCTATTTCACTACACAGTTTTACAGCAGAAGTACTGCAGCACCACCATTAGTCCCATTTTATGCAGCACCTGCATTTCCTCCCTTAATGGAACCAATCTGCCAGGGCTATTCACATTTTTCACTAGATTGTGGTCTGAAACTTATTGTTTCAGGAACAATTAAACATTAGCTACCTGTAGAGTAGGTAGCTCTGTCAGAAGAGCAGCATATCAACACCAACCCCAAGTATTAAGAAATTCAAAGACTATAATACCTGACCATTACTGTAGCACAAGAAGAAATTTTAGGTTCATTGAACTGCAAAGTAAAACATCTGAAGAAGCACCTGTGCAGATGTTTGCATTTTGGACAGATACAGCCTACAGCACTGGCACTCAGGAAGATATTAGAACATTATGGGCTAAGAAAATCAGTATTTCCTATATGTGCATACACATGCACGCTTTGAAATCACACAGTAGATATGATAAATAAGTGCATTTTTCAAGTTCATTAACTACCAAATACAATGCAGATTAAATTTTACTGCTGCCCTCTGCTTTCAAATACTTCCACAAACTTGTTCCCAGTTTTAATGTCTTAGAAATCTGTCATGGCAAATGCACTCTCTACTTTCAAACTGAATTTAACCCTCAAAAAAAACCCCACCCTTCTGAATACACCATCAGTCAAATGTGATTTATTAATTCGTAAAACACTGAGGTCGGTTGAGCACATACTGCTTTGTTCTCATTTTCTTTAGAGTCCTGGCTTTGTTCTCATTTTCTTCAGAGTTCAGAGAACACAGAGTGCCCTCTTTCCGCCACCACCCTGGAGCCTGTGCTTATCTCCCCATCTGCCTCTCAGTACCTCAAGAGTGTCAAGCACAGCTCCCACGGGCTACTCTGAACCATCTCCCCGCTGATGTTTGCTTGCTTCAAGTATTCCTTATCTAGTCCTTGCAGCTACTGAGCAGCCCCCCTATCCTACTGAGGTTGTTTAATTTCTTTCAGAGATAAGAGCAGCTTTGTTCTCACACCAGGAATAACAACACAGGGTGTGACAGCTCCTACTCTTCTTGCTCTGCACCATTAAAATAAAGCAGAAACACCTATTTCACCAAAAAAAAAAAAAGCTCTTAGGAACATAGAAATTAGCACTCTGGCTGCTGTGTTTTGACCTTCTGGCCAGGCTGAGAAGACTTGACACTGCCAACATTACCTCTTAGATGTAAAGACATGACACCCACTTTCGGTTGCCCTTCTCCTCACATAACTGCATGCATGGCCTCTTGGCCACGCACAGAAAGCTTGAGCCCTTACCCACTCGGGAAATAACCACACGTGACCTGACCACTACCCACCCCTCCTTCAACCCCGCCTGGCCATGACAAGGGAGGGAAAGGACATGGAGACCCCGGGCCAGCATCACAGGCACAGGCTCCCCCGGGAGCGGCCCAGCGGGCTGCGCTCAGCTCCCACAGCCCTCTCCCTGTCTCTTA